GGGGGGGGGGGGGGGGGGAGGTACTTACAGGCAGACGGATAGACAGACAGGTCTCTGATTTGTGACTGCTGTGTTTACCGATTGGGGCGCCCATTTGCTTGAGCATGCCGTCATAACACCACTGCCCTGTGACCCACCTGTCATATGAGGTTTCTGCTTACAGCCAGAGGTTATGTTACATGGATACAGCACCCCCAATCCTCTACCTGAACCCTGACCCCAATCTCCCAGCCCCCCCCCATCTATCTGTCTTCAACGCACAACTCAAAAGACGCGTCAGACACTGCTGGCAAATAATTAAGTATCAGTTAGCATCATCAGCTTATTCAGACAGAATGTGATCAGCTGTGACTAGGATGTGGCAAGAAACTGACCTATGTGAAGTTATATATATATATATATTTGTGGCAGAGTATGTCTGGTGAAGAGAGGGGGAAGTCTGCACTTGCCAATCGTGTCACACACCCCACCACATGTGCTTCCACACACAGCAACTCCACCCCCACTTCCCTACTCTCAATCCCTCTTTCTTCGCTCTCCACTGGACAGTATAACGTACCGGAACTTACAAGCAGTTAGGGAACTTTTGTCATGCCGGTGGGGGGGTGGGGGTGGGGCAGTTAATATGAGCAGATGGAGGTGTGTCCCTGAAATAGACTACTGTTTATTATTATTCTGTGGTTGACTGTGCTTCTCTTTTTCATTATCATGCCCATCAGCTCAGGGAAGCAATTTTTCCATGTCAGTAACTTTGTTGGAATATTTATGATTGAAGAGTAACTCTGAATTTTGACACAGAAACATAACTTCATGCAGCATGTGATTTATAAGTCACAAAATGAATCCATTGTTCACAGGGTGTGACAGAAGATCATCTAAGATAAGCATGTAGAGTTAAGTAAAGCAGCAGTCCTGACACGTTTTAATCTGTTCGTAAATTTCTTGTCTAAGCCAGTGTTGAGCCAGAGTTTGAATGCTGTATGTGGAGATTAATGGGTTAAGTCTATGCTGTTTGGCTCATGACTAAAACTCCTCCTCTGCAAATCAGACTGGTACACAGAGCAGCTGGTCTTGACTTCATTCTGCTTTTTCAATTTCTTTTTCTTTCTTTTCAGTTTTTTTTTTCTTTTCTAAACTGCTACTCTCCCTTAGTTACTGTGTTTTCCATTTGAGAGTTTGTTGTTGCCCTAACATGCCCATATACTTTGTATCCTCTGGAGTTTGTCAGTTGCATCCGTCAGAAGGTGTTTCCACTCCCACCTAAATCTCCTCCTCTCCTCTGGTGCTCTCTCCTTCTGCTCCACTCCCTTCGTGGCTATTAGGAGGCGCTGCCCTCCCCAACCAATCACGTTGCACAAAGCATGTCTCACCAGATGAATATTGACTGCCAGCAGACCGTTTGGAAACGTGTGCCATATTTGCTATTCATAAAGTTGATCACACACAGATGCATCAGTCATGCATACTGTTGTGTTTCCATGGATAATCAGTGTATGCTGAAATTAAATGTGACTTCTCAAAGCTTCGGCCTGAGCAGAAAGCTAAAGCAGTATCAGAGGAGACATAACAGAGAGGAGCACAGGCAGAGGGGAGGAGAAAAGAAAACATACAATGCACAGGCTTCCTCAACAGCTGCAGCCCAGTTTTGAAATCCCCATCATCTTGTGACTTCCTTCCTCTGCTGCACAGAGCTGCAGATTCTGTGTGCACAAATGCACACACGTACACACTCTTGCAAATAGACACACACACACACTGCACATTGTGTGCGCACACTTGTAGCATACGCCAGGGTCTTTGTTTATCCAAAAAGGTCACACAAGAGATTTGTGGGGGCAGGGTATGTGCGTTGCTTGAGATCTGTCAGGCAGAGAGAGTGAGAAAGAAAGAGAGATACTCAATATTAAAGTCACACTAGTTTGCACTTGAATAATAGTTCCCCAGCTTAACTAACTGTTGTATATTCTCCTTTGTAAGAGATAAAATGTAATGGCACCATGAAAGTAAAGTCAAGGTGTGTGCACCCACAGAAAAGAGAATCTTGGCCATTGTCTCTATGCTCTCAGGTTTCAGTTTTTTGGGAGCGGAACAAAAACAAGGCTAATCTGTGAGTGTGTGGGAGAGAGAGAGTTTGCATAGCCAGTGTTTCTCAGGGCCACTAGAGCAGAGCTGCTGGTCTGGGTGTGAACACGAAAGGTAAACATTACCATGTCCCACAATCCTCTGCTCTTGTGCTCCCGTTGTGGAATTTTGACACAGAAATGCCAAAGGTCACAGCACTGGTTTGTCCAAATTCCCCACAAGACCCTACACATGCCTTTACGTTGTGAGTCCTAGATATCAAATCTTACAGGCTTTAATGTAAACACACACATGCAGATATGTATGCATTTATAGACATGCATAAACTTCAGTCACAAAAACATGAACATACGTCTCATTCAAAGCAAATGCAGTGTGAGCAAAGTCCATTAGTGAACACCACTTAGCAAGTTTTTTTTTTTTCAGCAAGTTGGCTGTCATCCAGATCCTTCACACCATACCCCGCTGTTCTGTTGCCAAAGCAGTTGTGGTGAAATTTTAACAGGTCCATCCACTGCAAAGCTAACTCTGTCTCTCTGCCTAGACCTCAACAGACTGATAACACAGTTTACTCTGTCTTATCCTACCTCGTCAAAATAGGTCAGGTTACAGCACAGAGCGGGCTCTGTCAACACATGCGCAAACTGCTGCGCACACACACCCACACAATCCATGCTCACACATTCATTTGCACACACCAAAGTAGCAGCATTATATGTGTACTCTCATGTTCAAATATTGCACCTTTATGTCTGGCATACATGCAGACAGACATTCATACATAATTATGGGAAGTCCGCACGTACTCACAGGTAATTTAGAAACTTGATACTTCAAGGTGGGAAACACACGTGATGCAGTGACTGTTCATTTAAATCCCAGCACAGTACTGCATGTGTAGGCTATGTATCTGTTATGGTTATCAGCATTCACTTAGAGAAACAAAGTTCTGAATGAAGCAGAATTACAGTCAACTTCTATTTCAGGAGCAGTCACCCATAGCCTGTGGAGTTGTACTGTAGTTCAGTGTTATTAACTGACACCATACTCTGCTCTCCTCCTGTGTGTGTTCTCAGATTGCAGATACCTACTCCATCGTTTGTAAAACCCAGAAGAAGAAACCTCCTATGGAAAACAACGGATCAAAGACCCTCCCACGCTCCTTTGGTGGGGAGAGAAACGCAGGTTCCCGTGGCCGAGGCCGAGGCGTCCAGGGCCAGGCGCGTTCCCAGGAGGAGCCGTGCTATGAGCCGGTAGGAGACAGGTCATGGTCCACATGTGCAATGGCCGAATCTGACCCCGCGTACGCTACTATCGACAGCCACCGGAAACGTGAGCAGGCGGGTACCAATAACAACACGGCTGGGGGTAGCGCCACTCTGAAGAGGAAGAAGCAGACGCCGCCGCAGCAGGCAGCACCAGCAGCACCTCAGGGCTCAGGACCCACCGCCCTGCCTGTGAGAGGCCTGCCCGGTGGGGAAAACTTCTATGAGACCATCAGTGATGTGAAACAAGGGGCCAACAGCTCTAGCACCACCACCATCTTCACCTTCAATGATGGGATGGAGATGTACGTCACTGGCCTGTAGCTGACTGACAAAAAGGGCCCAGAACCCACTGGTGCAGAGTCATGAAAGGGACCCTCCTGTTCACCGCTCAACAGGTTGCTGTATATAGATACAAGGCCCTCAATAGACAAACAACATGAGGATCCATTTTGTGATGACATCAGGTACAAACAGGGTCTTAATCCAGGTTCAGACTTATTTTAATTGGTCTGTACTTCAGAACCAGCCTAAGTCTAGTCCAGCCCAAAAATGGACCAAATATGTTTTAACAAAAAAAAGAAAAAAGAGATAAGAAAAGTGGAATATACATCTTCAAACTACTGTGTCACTGACCATACTCACCTGTTTGTGCATCATTTTCCATAATATCTTTATTTTTATATGAACACTGTACTCTTTGAAGAGTATGTGGTGTAACTCACAACCTTTAATATATATTAAAAAATAAATGTGCATGCATTGTGCAAACACACACCTGAAAATAAACAGTAGTAGCGAGGAAACTGGTTATATTAGCATTATGAGGCACACTGTTAGCTATTGTCATCCATACACACACTTAAACACACATATGCCTCATCTTGGGGGGACTTATGTAATATAGGCAGATGGATGTCACACAGATTTGCTCTCCCTAAGCAAACAGCTTAAACAGGTTCTCTGTGCGCACCGGCCGGTTGCCTGGCAGACAGCGTTGTGGTGCTTTGTTCAAAGATAGGCCTAGAATTTACAGGCCTGCCTAAACACAGAAGTAATTCAAAGCTATAATCCCCATTTGCCAATTTACCATCAATGTGCCCTAAACTTATTAGCAGTTATCAATAACAGCCAAGATAAAAAGTGACTTTTGATCAATAATGTAACCTTCACATTAATTATGAGATTAGTTAATAATCCACGGCACAGATTTGACAAACATCTGTAGCCAGAGGCATGATGACACACCCCAGCACCCCCGTGTACATATACACACATTCTTGGCAGAGTCATGCAGGTTAAAGTGATCAGGTCAGGGACATTGATGAGTGGGTTGTGCAAGAATTTCCCCAAAGTGATATGGGTGACAGATTTCACAATGCAAGACCTTTACTGTATTACTATAAATACATATAATATAAATATAATAAATGAAAGAAGAATATTTTCAAAAATAAGGAAGTGAAAGAGTTAGAGTGTCCAAAATAATACAGGATGCTTTATCCTGTGTAGTTAATATGCCATGTTCTTTGGGCGCTGTGAGCATCTGATTTTATGACCATTGTAATTTTGCACTTGACAGCTGCAGGACTGGTTGGCTTAATTGTGCATTAACATACTGTAAAGGGCGTTTCTGAGCACTGTTCTGATTTGCTCACAGGTCTCGAGTCAAAGCCAGAGCTCCCCATAGCTCACCAGACTAAAGTCTGGTAGTTGAAATAGCAACAGAAGGCTTGGACTCCAAGGAAAATAAAGAGCTGGGCATAAAAATTACCAGTGAGTGTCCTTTGGAAGGTTGCCCCTTGCCCTTTCCCCACCCTTGTCTCCAGCCTCTGCACTGAGTTCTCTTCCATTACAAACAATGTCTTTCCCATGTAGCTTTGGGGAACATTAAAAAAAGAAAGAAGAGTGGAAGAAAACAAAACATTAGAGGCTTAATAAATGGGCACAAAGATGGTGAAGGTGAAGAGGGATACAAACTACTCACAGGCTGAGAGATGAAGGCTGTATTAGAATGATCTCACTGTGAGACAATCATGCAGAGAAGAGAAGACAAGTTTAGAAAGGTTAGTAACATGAATTTATAAATGCTACTGTGTCAGATGGTATGTAAAAACAAATGCACTCTGTATTTTAATGCACTGTTTATTTTTTCTTACCTACTGACAATACCATTGGTTGAATAGCTCATGCCACTGCCATGGAAAACAATACGTTTATGTTGTTGGTGCAATTTTTTCCTGCTTGATCAAAAAAGTGCATGCTTTGATATGTGGAGATGAAACAAATATCGTGGTACTTTAATTGATCTCTTGTTTGTTAATCTTTTCTGTTGTACTTTTTTTCCATGTGATGCAAAGCAGCATTTAGTTTTTTTTTCCAAAGCAACAACTTGGAGGAGGAGGAGGAGGAGGAGGGGAGAGAAATAGAAAGATAGAGAGAAGCCAAAGGGAGTTTAAAGCAGAGAGTTGTTTATCCTCTGCTCTGGGGGAGCAAGAAAAAGCGATAGAGGTGAGGATGGAGAAGAAGAACAGCTTAGTATAAAGCTGGATGAGGATCACTGCAAATGGACACAGCCAAAGGACCCTCCTCCTTACGATATGTGTTTTTGCGTGCGTGCACACACACAGGCACACACCGGCAGGCACGCACACACACACATACACATATACTGCAGAATTGAGCCATGTGCATTTAGGGGATGAAGCACACTTTGCTTCCACTTGGTCAGCCCTTGCATATACTCCCTCCCCCAGCTGTGGTCATCCTCTAATAACCGACACAGACCTCTCTTTTCTCTGCTTCACCTCTCTCCCTCGCTGTGCAGGGGAGGGGCCTTTGATGTCCAGTTCTGAGGGACTCAGGGAGAGATATGAGGTTGGGGGGGGG